GTATGTCAACTATAATTATATATATACATATAGTCTCGGGACATGGAGTAGAGAGTGGGAACGGATTCAATGGAATTGTAATAGATAAGCATGATATCGGGGGTGGGAGGGCAATAGATGGGGGAGGGGGGTTGTTACTTTGTGAGGGTGAAAATGGTAACTATTGCATTGTTCTGTACACCTGAAACTAACAGTAAAAATAAAAAAATAAAATAAAAAGAATTTTATTTTTGTAATGATTAAATTCACCATTACCTCTAAAACATTCAGAACTGAAAATAGTTCAAAATATTTTCTCTTGTCTGTTTAAAAATCGTAAACAATTGTAAATAACTATCTTCTTAGGAATTCTATTTTCCCTTTTGTAAACAAAGTGATACTCATGAGTTAGTATTTAAGCAAAACTGTGAATTGCTGTTCTATATTTTATTGCCAGTATATTAAATGGAGCTGTTCAGGTAACGATAAAATGGCCTTGAGAGAAGACTATTAGTTATATATAACTCCAGTTTGTATGGCATGAGAAGCTTGCGTATTTATAAAATCATTTTGGCATTCTTTATTGCTATGTCCATAAAAGGCAGATATTTTCCTACCATAGCACAATATGGACTTGTTCCCTGGTGTCCACAGTATTTTAAGGAGGAGTTATGTGTCCAGCCACAAACTGAAATTACGTAAAGTGCAGACTACACAGCGCTTTACGTTAGGACTCCTGAGAGAATAGGCAGGTCCTCCTCCACCCCAGGGCTGGACCCCAGCCTGGCTAAACTGAATAATTATCCCAGCCCGTTCTCCAAGCCTTGTCTCTCAGACCCCAGATTTCAGCCTCAGAAAACCCTGAAAGGCAAGCAGTTAATCCAATTTAAGGGTCTCACACATCATCAGTCAGGCCTAGAATTGGTCCGTTGGAGAAAGGAGTCTTTTTTAAGAACTGAAATCTGAGTCTAAAGAATGGTGCAGATTTGAAAAACTGCTCAAATTTTATCTTTTCTTTAAAATTCTTACCTAGCTTCATTTTTGCCACAGCTCTTATCACCTGAACATATAATTCAGATGTTTATTATATTTATTATTCATTACCTGACTTTTTCTACTTAGAATGTAAGTAGCAGGAAGATACGGTTCTTTTAGTTTTTCTCTCGTTTTTTTTTTTCTGTTTGTTTATTTGTTTGTTTGTTTATTGAGGCATCTCAAGAGCCTAAAACAATGCCTAGCACACAGTTGGCTTGGTAAATACTGAATTAAGAACTTTGATGGCATCAAAAAGCTTCAGTTAGTCACACAAGATTACTTCTCTTCATTTGTCTAGCCTTCAGAGAGAATAATAAAGCAAGACATACACTGACCCACAACACTAAGCCATACAATGGTTTGTTAAAATTAAATACCCAAGTAAGGCTCGGAACACAAATGTTCATCTATGAAGTTTGAGTCGGTCTGTTGTAAGGGGGGATGGGTCAGTGGCATGAATGTAGTTGATTTTCACAGGGATTCGGCTGCCAGACCCCGTGACTTCCTCTGTATCTGGCTTTATATGTTCCCCATGTTCCCCATGCTGCCCAGCTTCATTTAATCACAATCTACACTTGCCTAAGTGCTACATAACTCGGAAGGCAGTGCATTGTTTGGAAACCCATAGCCTAGTTTCATATTTTATATATGCTTCCCCCTGCCTCCTCTTTTTTTTTTTTCTTCTAGAATAAATTTGTCTGTTTTGTCCTTATTACATCAGTCACAAACAGATTGGGGAAGAGAAGATGAAACATAGGTCATTTTTATTCTCTGTATTTCCAGTATCAAGTTTTTGCTGAGAATTGGTTTGAAATAGTTACCTAAGCCTAGGTTAGTGTGATGGTGCATGGGATTCTTGGATGTCTTCATCTTGAATGATTGAGCCTGGCTGTGGGTTTTATTTTGTTCCTTTTGGCAATCAGAGCTGTAGAATTGTGTTGTTTTATTTATACGTATGGATTCATAACAGAAGTTACATCTTTTGAAAGTGGCAGTTCTGCAGGATAAAACATCCCTGGCACAGATGAGGGTATTGTTTTGAGGCACAGAATGGTTTCACAAGCTGTATGTTTTGGGAGGTCCTGTTTACAGCAGCTTGTCACAGAGGTGACAGAAACAGTGTCACACAGATGCTTTCTTTCATTCTCCCTTGCTCGTGTGTTAATCACACAAGAACGATGCAGTGCAAACAGCCCTATTGCCAAGATGAACCAATGCCGTCAAGATTTCTAGACTTACGTTGTGGGATACCATTCTGTTGTTTCAAACATTTTAAGTGACCATCAAAAAATGTTATCATTGAGTTAAAAAGTCGTTAGAGTCATGGTGGTAAATCCATATGTAGTTGGCTTTTAATTGATACGGTTATATATTCCATTTGTCTCAGCTTCTGGTTCATTTTATTTATATAGGGTTTTAACGAGTTTCAATATTACTAACAACAGATCTATTAAAAATGCATAAGTTCTTTCCTTATTTTCCTTAAATAATACTTAGTATTTCACCCCAACTTCCTTGAGCATTAGAGAAGCTGTGAAAGATAATATCTATTAATTCTGCATTAAGTCTCTTAGTCTGTTTTCAGTTAAGCCCTTATTGTTATTCATATGTTGCTATGAATTTCAATGTGACCTTTATTTTCCTGTGATCGGTTTCCCATATATTCTTATGAAAGAACAAAATGAAAGCAATATGCATTTGTGTTTACAAACATAACGTAACACTTCTGTTGTACCAGAGCTGAAGAAAAAACAGTTCTTTTAAGATGGTTTGTTTCTTTGAGACCTTTGGCTTAGGATTCATATCACAACTGTATGAAAAACATAATGACTTTAATAATGTATTAAATAATAAGTGATATAATGTTTAGGTGAATATTTTGGTAGCTACCTGCATGAATGCTATTACTCTTGTTTATACAAATGTAACATGCGATCATTAAGGAAATGAATGTGCGTATATAAAAATGCCATTGACTATATTTCATAAATTAGAATTTGAGAATTTAGAGAACTTCATGATTCAAATTTTGATGGAAAAAACTATGGCAAATAATATTCATACTTTATGTGTATATCCAGCAAGAATCTTTTAAGATTGACAGCGTTTATAAAAACATAAAAACACTTGAAACCTATTTGTTTCCCTTCCCTGGTTCCCTCAGGAGTTATAGACACGTAAGTTCTGGGTAACATCAGTCTTCACCCTTTTCCAGTTGTACTGCAGTAAATTAGTGCCTGCCCTTAATGGAGGAAAAATGATCTCTTCCTTGTCAACTTAGAGTTAAGATGTAAAGTGGCAAGTTATATTCTTCATATTATTTTGATAATAAGATATAAAATGGCTGTAAGGGAAATTCTTTTATACATACATTTATAAATTATTTTTAAAATAGCTAAAATGTAATAGTTTAAGTTTCAGAAAATTCTTTGTGAATAATGATCTAAAATAAGTGAATATAAATCATTTCTGATACTATCACATAGTGACACCCATGAATTGGCATGAGGGTGGCAGTATCTACCAGTAATACATTTTATAGCACTTTATGTGAAACTCCGTGGGGATTCCTTTTATCACATGCACTGAACTTTCATTTGTAATTTTGCTTTACCGCATAAAGACTTGCCATAGTTGTTTAAGGATCTTAGTTTGAATCTCACGTAAGTCACTAGGGATTATATTTAGAGACTTCAGTTTAATACCTGACAGGAGATACCTCATCAGGTACCAAAGTTGCTGAATACGTGTTTCACTATACCTAACATTAACACAGGAGGCTTATAAAGGAGGTTAAATACCATTTGTGTTCCCAGATCATTTTCTCCATTGGCCTGTCCAGTTGTCGTTCATGCTGCACCTCTCCATATAGCTAAAAGTTGTCAACTTGACATGTCGTTTAAAATTGTTCTTATCTTTAGATTGTCATAATGGAAGTGGAAGGTTTGAAGTCCGTCGCTCCCAATCGAATTGTTTACTGCACAATGGAAGTGGAAGGAGGAGAGAAACTGCAGACAGACCAGGCAGAAGCCTCCAGACCACAGTAAGCCAGTTGGAAAATAATGTATTTTTTTTTCCCTCCTGAAGACACATGCTTTATTTATTTGCAGAGTTATATGGTTTGCAACTCTAAAATGGTTCCTTGGCTTGCTCTGTCTCAACTGTGTTAGAATCAGTATGTGCCTTTCTGGATAATAATGGTATCATTAGAACTGTGGCAGAATCTCTGCGTAACACCGACAGAAAATCCAACATGCAAATGTGAAGCCAGTTACTAGGCACTAATATGTAAGTCACTTAGAAGCACAGCATGTGTTTTCAGCACACGTTATTTGCAAGGATGTGCTTGGTCGTATTTCAGTTATTAGAATTGTAACCGATAGCTTTTCTGTGTCTGTATGTTACAGCTGTGGGGTGATGGCCAGGTAGGTACCGGGGTTCTGCTCAGTGATTTGGCTTGAGCTAGAGAACCCATTAACGACTACCGCACAATAGTCAGAGATGAAACAGCTATTCTTTGCCTGCACTTTTATGTTTCAAATTCTGGGAATGAGTTTAATTAAGTTTGGAATATATTCTGTTTAGCTGATTTAAATTTGGGAAAGTTTAGCCTCCGATAGAAATACGGAGAGAGGCCTGAGGAATTCACATGCAACTTTCCTGGCCTTCATTCGTATACTGCTGCTAGCAAGAACTGGTTTTTCTTCCATTTAAACTTCATTCAGAATTTCTTGTAGGACTTAGAGGATTTAGGATGTTTGCCTTGTCACAGCATAAATATATGGACTGTTCATTCCGGCAACTTCTTTTGCGGTCCTGGGTAGGCACTGAAGATGAAGAAGAACAAAAACTTTCCTTGTCTTTGGGTGCTCAGCCTAAGGGGAAGGCAAACGGGAGAGGCGTGCCCAGAGCACTAGGGGATTGAGAAGAGGCAAGTTGACACTTCTCGGTCCCTGCAAGTCCGCCTTTGACCTGTCTCATGACCTCTGGGACCTCACCTTGTCCCTTTCTTCCCCTGGTCCACGACTGTTCAGCTACCCTGGACTCCATGCAGGTCCTCAAATATATCAGCCCATTTTCATCATTATACCTGCTTTTCCCTCAGCCTGCAGCCACCTTCTCTCTTATCTTTGTCTGGCTAGATACTTGGTGTTGAGAATCTTAACTTGAACATCACTTCCTGAGAACAGCCCTTCCCTTTAGATAATCCAACAGGAAGCAGGTATTTTTTGGATCCTCATTTTTTAATTTTTAGACGAAGGTGTCTCTCATCTGTTTATTTTATTTTTAAGATTTTATTGGGGAATTGGGGAAGGGAACATACAAGTTGCTGTCCTTTTGTTCTTCAGTCTAGTTGTGGAGGGCGTCACTTCACTGGCCCATGTTGGTATTATCATTACGCTCTTCCCGGGTGAGGCACATCAGTCGCCAGTCACTGGACGGCAGCTCACGTTGGCTGCCAGCCGCTTACGGTAGCTTACAGGAGCCCACTGCAGCAGGGGCTGCAGCCTACGCCGTCGCCGTCGACTCATGGCAGCCCAGCTCCATGTCAAGCTGTTGTTCAGCATCTTACCTGTAGAGGGCACAGGGTCACTGGCCTTCATGTGGGATCCGAATCGGGGCCCTGCTGCTCAGACCTGGTGTCCCAAGCCAGCTCTTAACCAATGATCCACTCAGCCGGCCCTCATCTGTTTATTTTAAATCATGTTTCCCCTTGAGAAAAGGGACAGAGAATTGTCCTATTTAATTTAATATCCTAGTACCTAGTAGGCACTCAGTCAGAATTTATTAATTCAGCGGTTTGAACGTATTTTTGTGACTTAGTCATAGTAAATACTTAAGGGTGTAGTATTTACTCCTGTAGCCATATAGAGTTGATTTACAGTATGACAATGAAGTGAAAATAATGAGGCTAAATAACTCTTTGAAGAGGTTAAAACCTCACAAGAGAAGGCTGTGAGACAGAGAGGGACGTTGCTGCCAATTCTGAGCATATGGAGTCAAGGGGGAGGTTTGGTGTGTGTGTGTTTGAAAGATCAGCTATTTTAGTCTGGTAGTATGTATTAGTCACAGCGTTGTGCAACCATAGTCAATTTTAGGACATATTCATCACCTCAAAAGAAACTGTGTACCTTTTACTTATCAACCTCAAATCACCCCAGCCTTAAGCGACGACTCATTGACTTTCTGTCTCTATAAATTTGCCTATACTGGATATTTTACATAAATGGAGCCATGTAATATGTGCTCTTTCGAGACTGGCTTCATTCACTTAGTATAATGTTTTCAAGATTCATCTATCTTGTAGCATATATCAAGGCTTCATTTCTTTTTGTGGACAAATAATATTCCATTGTACGTATATACCACGTTTCGTTTCTCCATGCGTCTAGCATAATGACACTTGGTCTGTTTCTCCCTTTTGGCTACTGTGAATAATGCTGCAAATTAAAGCTGGTATACACATATCTGTTTGAGTACCTGTTTTCAACTCTTTGGGGTGTATAGCTCGCAGTAGAATTGCTGGGTCATATGGTAATTCTGTTTAGCTCTTTGAGGGTCCACCAAAATGCATCTCATAGTGACTACACCATTCTACTTTCCCACCAGGATTTTATGAGACCTCAAATGTCTTCACATTCTTGTTAATGCTTGTCATTTGACTTTAAAAATATAGACAGATAAGTAGATATATAGGGACGGGTGGATGGATGGATAGATAGATGGATGGATGGATGGATGGATGGATGGATGGATGGATNGTGGATGGATGGATAGATAGATGGATGGATGGATGGATGGATGGATGGATGGATGGATGGATCGATCGATCGATAGATAGATAAATGTAGATGAGTCTACATACTAGTAAGGGTGAAGTGGTATCTTGTTGCGGTTTTGACTTGCATTTCCCTAATAACTAATGATGTTGGGCATTTTTACATATGGTGTATTAGCCATTTGTATTATCTTCACTAGAGAAAGGTCTATTCAAGTTTTTTGTCCATTTTTTAAATGAGCTGTTTTTTCATTGTTAAGTTATTAGAGCTGTTTATATATTCTAGCTACTAGACCCTTATCATGTATGATTTTCAAATGTTTTCTTTCATTCTGAGGTTTTTTTTCATTTTCTTGATATATTGTCTTTTGAAGCACAAAGTTTTAAAATATTGACCAAGTCCAGTGTATCTTCTTTTCTTTGTTGCTTGTGATTTTGGTATCACAGCTAACAATCCAGTGCCAAATCCAAGGTCACAAAGATTTATCCCTATGCTTTCTCCTAAGACTTTCATAGTTTTAACCCTTATATTTAGGTGACATTGATTCATTTTTAATTAATTTTTGTACATATTAATCTGGGGTAAGGGCCCAACTTCCTTCTTTTGTATATTACAGTTAGTTGTCCCCACACCATTTATTGAAGAAACTATCCCCTTCCCATTAAATGGTCTTGCTAACCTTTTGAAAATCAATAAACCATAGATACATGGGCTTATTTCTGGACTCTCAATTCTATTCCATTGATGCCAGTTTCACATTATCTTGATTCTCATTGCTTTGTATTCAGTTTTAAATTCAGGAGCGTGAGTCTTCCAACTATGTTCTTTTTAAAATTTATTTTTCAATTACAGTTGACATCAATATTATTCATTATTAGTTTCAGGTGTACAGCATAGTTGTTAGACATTTATATAATTTACAAAATTATTCCCCCAGTTAGTCTAGTACCCACCTGGAACTCCATATAGTTATTATAATATTATTGACCATATTCCCTATGCTTTACTTTACATCTCCATGACTGTTTTGTAACTATCAATTTGTACTTCGAAATTAATTTACGTTTTTCACCCAGCCCCCGAAACCCCATCCCATCTGACAACCATCAGTTTGTTCTCTATATCTATGAGTTTGTTTCTGTTTCATTTTTTCATTCACTCTGTTCTTTAGATTCCACATATAAGTGAGATCACATGGTATTTGTCTTTCTCAGTCTGCCTTACTCAATTAGCATAATATTCTCTAGGTCCATTTATGTTGTTGCAAATGGTAAGATTTCATTCTTTTTTATGGACAAGCAATATTCCATTGTATATATGTACTTCTTCTTTATCCATTCATCTACTGATGGACACTTAGGTTGCTTCCATATCTTGGCTATTGTAAATAACTCTGCAATGAACATAGGGGTGCATATACCTTTTTGAATTCATGTTTTGGATTTCTTTGGATAAATAACCAGAAGTATAATTCCTGGGTCATAAGATAGTTCTATGTTCAATTTTGTGAGGAACCTCCGTACTGTTTTCCTTAGTGGCCGCACCAATTTGCAATCCCACCAACAGTGCACAAGGGTTCCCCTTTCTCCACATTCTCACCAACACTTGTTTGTTGATTTATTGATGATAGTTCTGATAGGTGTGAGGTGATATACCTTGGTGGTTTTCTTTTTTTTTTTTTCTCACAACCTTGGTGGTTTTCATTTGCATTTCTCTGATGATTACTGACATTGAGCACCTTTTCATAGGTCTATTGGCCATCTGTATGTTTTCTTTGGAGAAATGTCTGTTTAGTGCCTTTGTTCGTTTTTAATCAGATTGTTAGCTTTTTGGTGTTGAATTGTAGAGTTCTTTATAAATTTGGGGTATTAACCTCTTATCACACATATCATTGCCAAATATCTTCTCCCATTCAGTATGTTGCATTTTTGTTTTATTGATCGTTTCCTTTCCTGTACAAAAACTTTTTCACTTGATATAGTCCCATTTGTTTATTTCTTCTTTTGTTTTCCTTGCCTGAGGAGATAGATCAGAAAAAATATTATTAAGAGCAATGTCAGAAAGTTTACTGTCTATGTTTTCTTTTAGGAGTTTTATAGCTTTCCATCTTACATTTAAGGCTTTATTCCATTTTGAGTTTACTGTTGTATATGGTGTAAGAAAGGTGATCCAGTTTCATTTTTTTGCATCTATTTGTCTAGTTTTCCCAACACCATTTATTAAATAGACTGTCTTTATCCCATTGTATACTCTCACCTCCTTT